CGTTTCAAGTGCTTGATAGCCACGTATGGCTCGTATCACATTGGACAGCACAGACGTGGAACATTTCCATCACCACAGAAAATTCGACTGGACACTGCTGTATTAGAAGGTTGTTACTGGGAAGCCCTAGTCTATAAGCATCAATCCTTCCATTTTCTTGCGGAATCTCAAAACTCCTCCCTTTTATTTTACTTATTTATTTATTTATTTATTTAGTTTAAAGAAGGACTAGACACTTCCACTTCCGGTAGTATGACAGACTAGATATTCTAAAAACAATCAGCTAAAAACACCTAAACATTCTGGATGCAAAATTTAAAACATCCCTTTGGTTACATTCCTGTGCTCCCAAGAAAATAAAATTTTCAGAAACAAAAAATGTGGGAGCACAAATGTAAAGAATTGTGAAGTCTGGAAGCTGAAGTTCTAAGGGTGATGGCTTGTTTCTAGACATCTAGAGCCTCGGGCTTTAAAATGTGATGTTTAAGGCGCAGATCTGGGCTCATGCAAGCGAGGAGTTGGAAGAGAAAACTTCCCAGCGAGCCAAGATCTCTAAAGGGCCCCCACCTCAATGAAAGGACCAACTACTTAAAAAGTCAAATAAAAGCTGCCCTACTAAACGAGACAAGATGTTTAGGAAACTTATCTGCCTCAACATCTGGCTCCGGAGGGGAGAAGAAAATAAAAAGACAAAAAACCCTGAAAATTTGTAATCCCAGGCCAATCTCCATGCAGGTTTAGAATTCAGATTCATACTGCCTACATGATCCGGGAATTCAAACTGAAAAATCTATTTCAGCCAGTTTTGTATTCTTCACTGTTTATGCCAAATTGACTCCAGAAGAAATGAAAAATCTAAATAGATCTACAACTCTTTAAGATACAGAAACTGGAGTTTTAAGTCCGCCCCACTCCCTCCCTTGCAAAACACGCTAGGTCCAACTGCATTTACAGATTAGTCTACTAAACATTCAAGGAGCAATTAATTCCAAGCTTTAACTCACCAATGAATAGAAAAAAGGGACCACTCCCCAATTATTTTAGAAAGCTGATATAACCTTGATAACAGAGCCAGAAAAGGATAATACAAGAAAGGATAATTATGGGCCCATCTTACATACGGATATAGACGTAAAATCATAAAGAAAATGTTAGCAATCTGAATCCTGCAATTTAAACAAAGGTAATAATACATCACGATCAAGATAAGTTTACCCCAGGAATGTAAGACCAGCTTAACATTAGAAAATCTAATGTTATTCACTGCATTACCATTTAAAAGGGGGGAAAAAACCATCATTTCAGTAGATGCGGAAATTTCAGAATATATTTCAAACCCATTCAACGTAAGTAAAACTCATAATCAACCAGAAACAACAGGAAACTTACAGCTTGTTAAAAAAATATGTACCAAACCCAAAACGTACAACAGTTACCACACATAATGGTGAAATGTTTGAAGCATTCCCTTTGAAATCATAATTTAGACAAAGTTGTCACTTTCAATATCTTACTGGTGGTCCTAGGCAGCAGAGAAAGACAAGTTTTTGTTTTGTCTTGCAAATTATATGATTGTCTTTATAGAAACCCAACAAAATCTATAGTCTTATAGAATAAATAATTCAGTAGTTTGCTTATATTAAATCAATATGAGGGACTTCCCTGGTAGTGCAGTGGTTAAGACTCCACGCTCCTAATGCAGCGGGCCCGGGGTTCAATCCCTGGTTGGGGAAGTAGATCCCACATGCATGCCGCAACTAAAAAAAAAAGATCCCGCATGCCGCAACTAAGACCCAGTGCACGTAATGAGAAGCCAGCGCACCGCAACGAAGAGCAGCCCTCACTCAGCGCAACTAGCGAAAGCCCGCGCGCAGCAACGAAGACCCAACGCAGCCAAAAACAAATAAATAACTTTATAAAAAAAAAAAAAAAGACCCAGTGCAGCCAAAATAAATGAATGAATGAATAAATAAAAATATTTTTTTAAAAAACCCTTTTACAGTAGCAACAGAAAATACGACATACTAAGGAATAAATCTCATAAAAAATGTGACTGACCAATATGGAAAAGATTTATAAAGTTTTATTGAAATACATTTAAAGACATGAATAAATGGAGGCATGCCATTTTTATTAGGAGAAAGATTCAATATCATTAAAACATCTATCCTTCCCAAATTAATCTCTCAACTCAATGTAAGTCCAATAAAAATATTAACTGGCCTTTTCCTGGAATCTGACAAACTGAATAAACAATTTATATGAAAGAGTAAAGGAACAGGAAGGGTGGAAGTGATTTTCATGATTAAGAGGAATGGGAAGAGCTGACTATTACGTTATCCAGGTTTACTAACAACAACAGTACGTAAGCCACGGTGCCACTGACACAGGGATACATCAACAGACAAAGGGAGGAGGCTGGAGACCCAGGAGCAGACCCTCACGTATGACAACATATAACAGCAGTGACATCACAATCAGTGGGGAAAGGATGGACTAGTCAGTAAATAATGGCTACTCAAATGAAAAAAAAAAAAAAGTATCTCTAACTTATAAACCAAGAGCAACAAAAACAAACCCAAACAAAACATCCAGGTGGATTAAAGACCTAAATGTGAAATACCTCCAGAAGAAAATACAGGAGTAGGGAAGATTTCCTAAAGAAGACACAAAAAGCACAGACTACAAAGTAATAGATAAAAGTTTTCACATTAAAAAATAAAGCTTCTGTTCTTTAAAAGATACTGTTATATGGTGGTCATTTTTTTTAAACTTCTAATAATTTAGAGAGACATACTTAAATATTTAGAATAAAATAATGCCTGTGATTTGCTTCAAAATGATCTTCGGGTGACTAATGGGTAGGGTTATTATTAATAAAAGCTTATCTCTGAGTTGGTAATTGTTGAAACTGGGTGATAGGTATATGGGGGTTCATCAAACTTCCTCCTTCCTTTTAGTGTATGATATATATATTTTTTTTATAAAAAAGGCAAAAGGAAAAAAAGAATATCATGACAATGGGATACCAGTGTTCATCAACCAGCTTATTAAACACTTAAAAAACTGATAAGTTTAGGGAATTTCTTCGCAGTCCAGTGGTTAGCACTCGGTGCTCTCACTGCCGGGGCCCGGGTTGAATCCCTGGTCAGGGAACTAAGATCGCACAAGCCGTGCAGCGTGGCAAAAATATAAAATTTTAAAAATCTGATAATTCTAAATGTTATCAAGAACATAAAAAAGTGGCAACTCTTATGCACAAATGGCAGGAACATAAATTGCACAACCAATCTGGAAGAAAATTTGGTATCTCCTACCAAAACTGAAGGTGCGCACTCTTCCCTACCCAGCTGTTCTCCACCTAGGTTAAATCCTAGAAAATCTTGCTCTTGGAAATATACACAAGAATAAAAGTGCTCACAGGCTCATTGTTTTCAACAGCAAAAAAACTGGAAACAACCAAATGTCCACTTGTAAAAATATGTGCGACTGAATAGTGGTATATTTACATAACGGAATGAAAGTGAATTTACTGCAGCTCCATGAATCAACATGGACACATCTTACAAACATGGCAAAAAAAAAAAAGGGAATTTGCAGAATATAACACCATTTATGTAAAGTGTAAAGCCATGTAAAAGTTAATATATTGTCAGGGATGCATACATATGCAATAAATTTCTAGAGAAAAGCTAAGAATGATAAATTCAGAATAGTGGTTACTTCTGGTGGGAGTAGAGAAGAGAATGTAACGGCACAAAGGGAGCAACATGGGGATTGTGAGGCTTGGTTTCTAAGCTGTGTGTTGAGTACGTGAGTGTACACTGCATTATTCTTTAGTCCTTTTGTATGTAATAAGATAATTTGTAATTAAAAATAAAATTTTTTCACAATATATACAAATAGCGAATCATGTACAGTTAAAACTAATATGTTATATGTCAATTATATCTCAATTTAATATATATATATATATACATTTTTTTCAGTAAAAGGAGGAGATGTGGTAGGGGGAAGAGGGAGAAGAGACACAAAAGTACACATCAGGGGAATCATAAATTCACTTCAGTTCAACAACCAAGTTTTACTAAGAACAGATGAATGAAACTCTGCCTGTCCTGCAAGGTAGACAATCATCTGCCATAAGAAATACGCTGATTCCTCTGAGTGCAGAGGTGAAGGAACTACTGTAAAAGCAGGAGTTCTGGCCAGACGCCTGATGAGGCCCCCATATGTCAGAGCATTGGTGGGTGGGCTTTTGATCCCAGCTAAAGGGTCTGAGCTTTCCTCCTCTTCACCCCACCTGCTCCCTCCCCTCTTCTGTCCCCTCTTCAGACTCATTTCTAGGTGTGAGTCTTTAATGACAGGCATGCAGTGAAAACAAATATAGGACAGTATTTGTCCTGTAGACGTGCTGAGGACATCTTCCACGCAGCTTTCGGAAGTGAACGACTCACTGGGAGATGCCGGCAAGAGTGTGAGTGTGAAAGACGCTTTACCTGTTGTTCTCTCCTGACACCTGTTCAGGGCTTCCCCAGGCAACTGGGAAAACCACCCAGCTGAGGCGAGCAGTCCAGGCTTCCAGCTCCTTACTCAGGTGAGTCACCTCTTCAGGAGGAAGGCACCTAGACACCAGTGCCCGATTCCAGGGAAAGAAGACATAGGCACGATGTGCCAGGCTTCACGTCCAGTCACGCAGGAGGCAACACGTGGGTGATGTCTTGGTATCACACTTCCTTCCACCTCCACTTTCTGGCTTCCCCAGGCCTTCCTGGGGGGGTTCCCCAGCTCCCTCACAGCCTTCCTGGGGGAGTCCCCAGCTTCCCCAGGCCTTCCTGGGGGAGTCCCCAGCTTCCCCGGGGCCTTCCTGGGAGCCCACGGTTATGGAGGCCACAGACAATCTGATCCCAGGGTCACATACAAAGTGCTGCAAACTCACTCCTCACAACTTGGCACATCTATGGAACCCAAGGTCCTAGGCCCTCTCACTCCATTTCCAGCTTTGCTCCAACTGTCTGCATCCATGTTGATGTAAGAAGTGTCAGCTGAGGGTCTGCAGATCTGAAAGGGATGAAAGAGAATCACATGGTTTGTCACCCTCCTCAAATCCCAGCATCTGTTTCCCCCACATGTCCCTGCCTTCGCTACCTTTTAATCTATTTTACTTCTAAACCCACTGTAAAATAACGCCCCTCCCTGGATACGCTTATGGTAGGCAATTCTTTCCTATTATTTTATACCTGTTTGCGTTACTAAACCAGGGTCCCTCCTGGCATTTTCCCAGCTCGTGGTGGCCATCTCCAACCTGACCTCAGTGAGAGAAACCTAATACTATTAATACTAATAATGATAATAGTGACATATTTATTGAGGACTTGATAATGCACTAGGCCCGGCCTGTCACAAGTACTTTACATGTGCCAGGCCACATTCTGAATTTACTTAGTGTACATACTTATTTAGGTATATAGTTTCATTCTCATTTAACCAATGAGAAAACCCAGGCACAGAGCAGTTAAGTAGCTTGTCCAGGTGACACAGTTTTTTTCCAGAGCCTGCATTCTGAACTACAGGCAGACCTCAGAAATATTGCAGGTTCAGTTCGAGACCACCACGATAAAGCAAATATTGCAATAAAGTGAGTCACAAATTTTCTGGCTTCCCAGTGCATATAAAAGTTATGTTTACACTTTTCTGTAGTCTATTAAGTGTGTAATAGCATTATGTTTTTAACAACAATGTACGTGCCTTCACAGAGAACTATATTCAATATCCTATGATAAACCATAATGGAAAAGAATATTTTAAAAAAAGAATGTGTATATATATGTATATCTATATCTGAATCACTTTGCTGTGCAACAGAAACTAACACAACCTTGTAAATCAACTACACTTCAATAAAAAAATTGATTAAAAAAACAATGTACATGCCTTAATTTAAAAATGTTATTACTAAAAAAAAATGCTAATCATCATCTGACAACGCAGGGTTGCCACAGACCTATTTGTAAAAAAAAAAAAAAGCGCAGCATCTGCTAAGTGCTCTAAACTGAAGCCTGTACTAGGCCACATTGGGTGTCTCCTAAAAGCCCAAGTAGAGCAGGCGCTACGGCTGAAGCCCCTTCCCCTTCTCCCTTCCCCGTAACTTACACCGTGTGACAGCCTCCTTGACTTGGCGAAAGCCACCGTCGGGACCCCAGCCGTTCACAAAGTACATGAATCGGAGCTCGGCGGGGTAGGCGGCTCTGCTGAGGCCTGACGACATCAGAGGGATGGTGCGGCCCTCCGCCCCGGGGGCCTCGCTCAGCGCCTGCAGCATCTGGTACCTGCACCACGGGTCCCGGAGGAAGCCCGGTGTGATGAGCAGCACGCGACAGTGGCTGTTGCTCAGCGCCTGGCACAGCTCGGACACTATGGCGCCGCCGGGGGTTGCGTCGCGAAGCTGCAAGAAGCAGCGCAGGCCGGCAGTGCTGCCCTCCAGGTAGGAGACCAGCTCCTGGGCGGCCGCCAGGTCCTCCTCGCTGTGGCACACGCACACATCATAGTCCTTGCTCCAGCGGCCGCCGCCGCTGCTGCTACTGCTGCCGTGGGCGCCCGAGTGTGTCGGTGGCGGGGTGGGAGACACCTCTGAGCTGGGGCCCAGGGGTGGGGGCCTGTCCGAGGAGCTCGGCTGTGAACCGTCACTGCGGGTGTTTTCTGGGGAGACGGGCGTCTTTGTGGGCTTTCTCGACAGGGCCTGCCTGAACCAGTCTGCGGGGAAGAAACACTGCTCAGGCCTGGAGTTTTCAGCAGGGGTCTCCTGGCGACCCCCCAGAGAGGAGCCACCGCGGGGAGGAGGTCAGCCCATCTCCCCTGTCCACCTTCTTCTCACAACTGCTGCTCTGCTACTGTGTACATCCCTCAGGACTTGTCCCAAAGTTTCCCTTATCTTTAAAGGTTTCGGGAATACATAAAAACTCTGGCAGTTTTATAAGTCGGCAGGGATGTAATGCCGGCCTGTCTTACCGTACTGCATATTCTGAAGTTGCTAAGAGAATAGATCTTAAAAGTTCTCATCCCAAGAAGAAAATAAATCTGTAACTATGTATGGTGATGGATGTTAACTAGACTTATTGTGATGATTACTTCACAATGTATGCTCATACTCATTATGCTGTACACCTGAAACTGACAGAATGTTGTATGTCAATTATACCTCAATAATTTTTTGTAAAGCTTTTGGTATAACAACAACATGAGGGGGGAAAAAGGAAGAAAGGAAAGGAGGGAGGGAGGGAGGGAGGAAGGAAGGAAGAAAGAAAAGAACTCTGGCTGTTTCACAAGCCTGATTGGGAAAGATGGCTTTGCTCCACACTCTTCAGTTGCTGGTACCCCCCTAGCCTATCCTAACCAGAACTTCCCACAAGCTGACTAGTCAACCATCTGTGAGTCAGTAAGTAGAGCTACGTTAAGCTGGTAAAGATCAATTAGTCCCCAAACCCACTTTCAGCATTGAGGGGAGGTGGATTTAGATTAAGGGGCTACCCACTATGGGAGGGAGAGAGCCAGGGATTGTCATCTGTTTGGCCCTGAGAAATCCTAGCTTGTTGCTAAATGGGTAAAACGGAAATGTGCAAGAGGACCACTCACTGCCCAGGGTACCTGAAGACCTTAGAGCTGAGTGATCCGGGGCCACACTTTGGAGTGGGGCACAGAGATTTGATTGTGGACCTGCTACTTGCTTTCTATACGATCATAAGCAAGTCAGTCTGTGTCTCCACTTTCTCTTCTGTAAAATGGGTTCATTTTAGTTGTTGTTGAAGTCCAGCAGAGATAATGCAGCGTCTGGCATATTGTGAGTACTCCAAATGGTTTCAGCTCAGCTTCCCCAGCTTTTGACCGGGACAGAACGTGTGGTGTCCCGGAGGTTGATTTGTTTTTTTCTCTCTGCTTGGCTCCTACCTCTGAATGGTTCAGGGCGATTTAGTTAAAAAGAGACACCCTGTTAAGCACTCAGCACAGTGGTTTCCAGGCTGGGAAGACTAGCTGAGCACACTTGGGAAAGCTGTGAGCCAAAAGGACCGAAGGCTCCGTGATGCACGCCCCCTCACTCCCCACAGAGCCTGTGGGCACTGAGGTCAAAGCAGGACCCCGCCACGCCCACCCCGTCAGCCTCCCTGCGTCTCTCCAGGGCCTGTGTTTGGGGGCCAGGCAGCCTCCTGGAATTAGGAGTCTGTGTCCACTCACCAGCCATTTTGCCCAGAGGCTTTTTGGACCTGGAACGAGGAGCTGGCACGGAGGTTGATGATGCCATAGTCGTGGGCTCCAAACTAACCCCATGAGATCAGGCATTGGTAAAGTGGGAGAAGGGAGCGGACCCAGTCTTGACCTCATCCAACATCCATCCTACAAGAGACAGAGAGAAAGGATCACAAAAGCTGTACTGAACCTTACTCCCAGTCCCAGTGGGTGGGCTCTGGCATTTCTTTCTCTCTTGGTGCCTGACAGAGGCTCAGTCTCTAAATCGGTCCCTCATCCCTTAGGGGATTAGGGACAGACACCACTGGGATCAGGGCTGGTTGCTAGCTGAACCCCGATCTGTGTAGCCATCAGACTTACAGAGTATGAGCTCAGCATGACCAGCAGAGTGACTGTTCTCTGCGCCACCTGGCCAGGGTTGCATTCGGGATCTGGGGAAGGGCAGCTGGCAGGCAGCTCCTTGTAAGAACTTCCTGTGTAAATGCTGAAATCAGAGAAGAAGGTCTGTTACTATTTGGACAAATAATTATGTATCGAGGTAGACAGATGTTGAGCAGTAGAGAGAGAGCACGTGTAAGAAACCTTGGGGGACTTTTCCTCCAGGTCTGCCTTCCCCTGAATAACTCCCTCTCTCCATCCACCCACCTATCCTCCCTCCACTCCCTCCCTCCCTCTCTCCCTCCCTCCCTCAGCTGTGCATAGTGGTAAAGGCTGCAGACTCTGCAGGCAGAGGTCCTAGATCTCATCTCTTATGAACTGTGGCCTCTGGTAAACTACTTTACTCTTGCTAAACTTTAGCTTTTTTGTTTTGTTAAATTTATTTTATTTATTTATTTTTGGCTGCATTGGGTCCTCGTTGCTTGCTGCACGCAGGCTTTCTCTAGTTTTGGTAAGCGGGGGCTACTCTTTGTTGCGGTGCATGGGCTTCTCTTCGCGGTGGCTTCTCTTGTTGCCAAGCACGGGCTCTAGGGCGCGTGGGCTTCAGTAGTTGTAGCACACGGGCTCAGTAGTTGTGGCTCGCGGGCTCTAGAGCACAGGCTCAGTAGTTGTAGCACACGGGCGTAGTTGCTCCGCGGCATGTGGGATCTTCCCGGACCAGGGCTCGAACTCGTGTTTCCTGCATTGGCAGGTGGATTCTTAACCACTGCGCCACCAGGGAAACCCTAAACTTTAGCTTTTCCATCTGTGAAATGGAAATAATACTACAGCCTGCTCAGCATTACTGTGAAGATTACATGAGATGATTTATGTAAAATGCATGGCATAGAATGCTCCGAAAATAGTGTGGGTTAGTATGTATTTAAAATTATCTAGATATTGGAGGGATCTATTCAATGTTATTCCAAATTCCGGAAGGTTTTTGGTTTGGTTTTCTTTTTTGGGGGGAGGGAGGAGAGAAGGGATTGTCAAATGGCATCTAAATTTTTTTTTTTGGGGGGGGGGGGCGTTGGCGGGCCTCTCACTGTTGTGGCCTCTCCCGTTGCGGAGCACAGGCTCCGGACGCGCAGGCTCAGCGGCCATGGCTCACGGGCCCAGCCGCTCCATGGCATGTGGGATCTTCCCGGACCGGGGCACAAACCCGTGTCCCCTGCATCGGCAGGCGGACTCTCAACCACTGCGCCACCAGGGAAGCCCTGGCATCTAAATTTATATGGAAATGCAAAGGACCATTAGATGGGCAACTTGCCATGGCCATGTTCTCTTCCCACCACAATGACCTGATGTCCCTGATGGTGGAGGCTCTTTCTGCCTAGGTTTCTGGGAGGATATTGTGTGGAGCAGAGCCCACCCTGGTCCAAGATGGAGCCACTGTGTTCTAGTGGCTTCTGAAGATGAAGGGCTGGTGGAGAACTTGGTTCTAGAGCAAGGACTGCTTTCTCACTATTTGATGGATCTACAGAGGTCAAAACAAGCCCCCCCCCCCCACCTCCCCGGGAACTCACAGAGAAAACAGCTTGTCTGAATAGACGCGCTGAGATAAGAGTTTTCAAATTTTAAAGAGTGTCCTTCAATGTTGGACAAAAATGCTTCATTCTGCTAAATGCTGAACACCCTTATGCCAAGCTGATGAAGAGAAGACAAGAGGTACTGATGATTCATGAAAATATATCAAAGTTCAAAAAAAAGGAGAACTTCAGCTGCAGCAGTAGCGGGTGCAGCGGTGCGGGAGCAGAAGCAGGAGTGAGACGGACTCGGGACCAGAAGCACATTTGAAAGAGCAAAGCAGAGAGCTGCTAAGCGAGCCAAAAAGACGTGAAAAGGGGAACATTAACAAGGACATGCGTTTCTTTTCCTACCTAATATTCTTTGGATTTCAGCCCCTAAGTGGTAAGATTGAGGCAGTGCCTGGTTAACCACTGTTAGGTTTTGAAATCCTTTTCCTGGTCAGGAGTCGCAGTTTCTTGACATCTTCATTTCAACCATTCGAGATGTCCTTCCCCTTCCCACCCCGCCCCCAGCAGTAGACACAATGTTACTTGCTTTTTATATTATTTAAATCTTTTTTTCAATTGTGTTTTAATTTGAAAATTCATTATTTGGCCTTGATAGACTTACAAACTGGAGAATCATTTGATATTTTTAATGACAGCCTAAAGGTTCAAAATTAACATAACACTTTACTTAACAGATGTAGATAGATCTAAGTTTCAGTTTCTCATTTTATCAAATGACATGCCCTTTTGGCGATACATGCTGATTTGGGGTAGCTGCCTTTTTTCATTGCTTGTTTAAGAAGAAATCCAATTGCCCAACAGCCACTGGAAGTGGATTGGTATAAGCCCTAGTGACTGATGTTACGGAAAAGTTCAAACACAGGAAATAGCATCTTTGACAAAGGATAATTGAGCAAGAAAGACCAGTTCCATGAACTGTATACACTATCTACTTCCTAGAGTCTAAACCATACTGCATTTTCCTTGTTATTTTTTCAGTTCTGTACAGCTGAGGCTGTGGAGCAATCCATCCAAATACGATTAATCTTTACTCTTTACAAGATTTAATAACGGTCTATATCGAGATATGGTCGAGATATGGGAGACATAGTTGTCAGGCAGGTGAGAAGATAATGAACCCAAATCTCCAACTGGAAGCTCTCATCCCTCACTCTGTCTATTCTCTGATTTGTTATGTAGTCACTTTTCCCTGTGCTTTTAAGACGTTCATCCAGTAGAATGATATAGACCTAAATACCTACTTTGTAGATAATTACAAAGACTTGATAGAAGATTAGTAAAGAGCTTCTTCAAAAGAAAAAGAAAACGCAGTAGCCTGTCACCATCAGTGTTTCTAGAATATGCTTTTTCAACACTACATGAAGGAACTTAATATGCGAGGTAAATACTGTAAAGTTTCGCTGTATAAAATCCAAAGTGTATTAAGTACTATTCAATATCTAACTGGTCTCCAATATCTATTACATAGGGAATGTTCTGAAACCTATGAAGACGTATGATTATGTATCTTATAGAATTCATATCCCATTTCTGTTAAGCTGGAATCACTGTCTGTGGTGACAGCACAGTGGTCCCCAAAGACACCCACATCCTAATTCTCAGAAACAGTGAAAATAAGCTACCTTACTTGGCAGAAGCTGACTTTGCAGATGTGATTAAGGGTCTGGAGATGGGAAGATTAGCCTGGATTATCCAGGTGGGCCAAATGTAATCCCAAAGGTCTTAGAAAAGGAAGACAGCAGGGTCAGAGTGAGAGAAGAGATGTGACAACAGAAACAGAGGTGGGTGTAGCGTGGGGCTGTGAGCAAGGAAGGTGGCAGCCTCTAGAAGCCGGAAAAGGCAAGGACCTGGATTCCTCCCTAGAGCCTCCAGAAGGGATGCAGCCCCACTGATCCACTTCAGACTGTGACTGCTACAACTATAAGATAATCAATGTGTGTGGTATGAATCCACTACGTTTGTGGTACTTTATTACAGAAGCAATAGGAAACTACTACACCATGTTTGATTGTATGTGAGGCTAACGAATGGGGAAAGCATTGAATCTGAGCGCTAAAAACTGGTCTGCTTGGGACTTCCCTGGCGGTCCAGCAGTTGAGGCTCTGCGCTTCCACTGCAGGGCGGGGTGCAGATTCGATCCCAGGTCTGGAACTAAGATCCCTGCGTGTCATGTGGTGTGGCCAGAAAGTAAACAAACAAACAAAAAACTGGTCTGCTTAAAGATTTAAATTGTTTGAGGGAGTTTTTCACTTCTTTGATGGATAAATTATTATCTACTCTTCATGTGATTTTTGACTTTAAGAACACCGGTTTCAAAGGCTCCAACACTGGCTTCTCAAACATTTGCTGAAACACTTGTCAGGGCGGATGCGTTAGAACTTGCAGGACAATATCCATTAAAGTGCTGCAATTAATTGTTAATAGCTAGAGAGGCACAATATAGTGTTTCTGAGGAGTTACGGACTGTGGTGGACAGACCCTAAGGTAGTTCCGTGTTCATACCTGTGAGTGTGGGCAGGACCCATGACTTCTTACCAATAGAATATGGCAAAGGTTGTAGTTTGTCACTCACATGATTTTGTTATTCTGTAGGGTGTGTGTGTTTGCATATGTATATAAATGTATATATACATCATATATATAGTAACAATCGTGTGTGTGTATAGGTGTATATACATACAATACATACATATGGTATGTATATTTGCTATATAAGATGTGTATAGGGCTTCCCTGGTGGCGCAGTGGTTGAGAGTCCGCCTGCCGATGCAGGGGATGTGGATTCGTGCCCGGCTGGGCCTGTGAGCCATGGCCGCTGATCCTGTGCGTCCGGAGCCTGTGCTCCGCAACGGGAGAGGCCACAGCAGTGAGAGGCCTGTGTAACGCAAAAAAAAAAAAAAAAGATGTGTATATATAAATATAACATATAAATGAATATTATGTACATATGTACGTATGTGCATGGGTGTAGGTGTGGGTGTAAAAATTCATCTTAGCAGACTGGAGAGAGACTTCCTTGCTGACTTGGAAGAATTTCCCATGTCATGAGAGGGCAAAGTGTCAAGGAACTCCAGGTAGCCTCAAGAAGCCAAGAGTGGTGTCCAGCTGATGGCCAGCAAGAAAGCAGACCTCAGTCCTACA